ACTTTCAACCATAACTCACACCAGAATTTCTATTCTGTTGGTAAGCAAGGCAATTAACTGATTTTATGACTGTTTTTGCCATAGTTGTTAAATGAATTGCTGTAGTTGTTGAGTGAATCATATGCTGTTAAGGGCTTTAAACTTGGTTCCTTAGGTCTACACCAGGGGTAGGCAACCTTGGCTCTTTTATGACTCATGGACTTCAACTTCCAGAATTCCTGAGCCAGCATAGCTGGGAATTGAAGTCCATGAGTCATAAAAGAGCCAAGGTTGCCTACCCCTGGCCTAGGCTGTGAATTATTATTATTGGATGGTATCTCTGAACAGGAAGTTCTCTGAAGAGGAAGAAATTCTATGGCTCACTCAGGGACCTTTAGGATATACAGTGCCTGCCTTGTTCTCCCAGCAATCATTTTGCTAATCTATAATATTTAAGAGCTGGAATTTCAGATTAGCAGTGGCTATAAGCAAGCATTTTAATAATATATTCAGCTATCTTTTATGATAACTCAGTTATTATAATATTATAGAATATATATTATAATTGTATTATTAAAAAGCTGTGGTTTTCATCTTATTCTGCTGCTCAAAGCTGGGAGAATGACAACAGCTGAGGCACACAGATAATATTTCTCTATTATTCAAATAACTTTCAATTGCCCTACATAATTCTGGCATTTTTATGACTTACTGTCATAAGCAAATAGTTACTTTATAAAAATGTTATCTCTAGGCTTTTAATTTAGTGCTTTCTTTTTTTATTATTACTGGACTTCTGTTTAAATATAGAGTGAAAAAAACATAAATACCAATTTTGACTTGTGTTGCTCATTGATCTTTATGATCAATTTGCTATATATTATTATTTTTCCAGCTGAGATAGCCTTATAGCTTTTCTCATCTGCAGCGTCAGGAAAATTCATGCTTCTGATTTTAGTTTATTATTATCTTTTCACTGTTTAGCAGCTTGCATAAAACAAGGGACTGGGAAAACTCTTTACTATACTGTATGAATAGTAGAAGGGTCATATGCATATACAGGAAATTGTCTGATTTACTTATATTCACAGTTTTTTTTTTCCACCTCAGAAATGTTCAACAAGCATCACTAGTCATTGCCAAAGATAGCTAGTAGTGCTTGGATTATAATTTCTGGATTTACCATGCAGACAATTTCATGCAATTTTATACAGGGAAATATCCAAATAGGTTGATGGATGATCCGTCAAAGAAGCAAATGTGGACATTGTAAAGGCCTGGATACTTACCCTGACATTTTCTCCTGAAGCTTGAAATCACTGATTTGTCTAGTAATGTAAAAACCAAAGAAAAGAAAGAAATTGAAGGGCAGGTTTACAGTTGGCTTTTTTTAAAACATTGTAAGAAAACTGAGATGCATAAACTGCAGTTCTGAAGTGTACAAGCATTCAGCCAGTTCGCACCACTTCAGCAGAACCGGTAGCTAATTTTTTGTTCTCCAGGCCCAGAATGGACTTCCAGAAGCGGCATCCACACAGAGAAGCGGTTGTTCACATATTTGAATCCCACCACTGTGTACAAGTGACCAGATTTCCAAGGGGATAACCTGTGACACGCTAACAAATAAATTTGCCTATTTCTGAATGTTAATTTCTAAGTCAATTTTCCAAGAGTTCCAAACAAAGATTATATAAAAATCCCCTCCTTTTCTGATTTGATCGCAAGGTTTATTACTGTACAATGTTGCAGCTCCCCACTCCCCAAACTAAAAAGAAGTAGTCTCTCTGCTATTCCTCTGCAAATCCTTTTCCATAGGATGAATTTTGTGAAGAACCTATTGTCTGTCTGTCTGTCTGTCTATCTATCTATCTATCTATCTATCTATCTATCTATCTATCTATCTATCTATCTGCTATACTGCTGCTTCCAGCTTTAATCCATGATTTGTGGGTGTGGGTGTGTTTAAATATGATAGATGAAGTATGATAAGCAAAATAAAATATTAGCTTGCAATATACTTCTATAATGTTCATTCCTATCTTACTCAAAAATGGAAATGTTTACAGTAATTATTGTACAAATATTTGCATTTAGGAGACACCTCTCATTTTCTTAGCAAGTGGTTTTAATGAACATCACTACAGGGAATTTTGATTATAGAATACAAAAAGCCCAACCTTGTGCAATGTACCCAATTCAATGTATTCTTAACTATGATTTAAGAAAATGGTAAGCGAACACCTGTCCAGCCTAGATGAGTTCAAATCACCAGGACCAGATGGATTACACCCCAAGGTTCTTAAGGAACTGGCAGATGTGATTTCAGAACCACTGAACTATATTTTTCAAAGATCCTGGAGTAATGGGGAACTACCAGAGGACTGGAAAAGAGCTGATGTAGTTCCCATCTTCAAAAAAGGGGGAAAGAAAGGACCCAGGAAATTACAGACCTATCAACCTGACCTCAATACCTTGGAAAATTCTGGAAAAGATTATCAAACAACGAATCAGCGAAAACCTACAGGCAAACAAAATCATTACTAAAAGCCAACACGGGTTTGTCAAAAACAGATCATTCCAGACAAATCTTATTGCATTCTTTGACCAAGTGGCAAAATTAGTGGACCAGAGGAATGCTGTGGATATAATTTACTTGGATTTCAATAAGGCATTTGACAAAGTAGACCACAACCTACTACTTGATAAGATAGAAAAATGCGGGTTAGACAGCATCACCACCAGATGGATCTGTAGCTGGCTGACCGGCCGTACTCAGCATGTGGTCCTCAGTGGAACTGCATCTACATGGAGGGAAGTGTGTAGTGGGGTGCCCCAGGGCTCTGTTCTGGGCCCAGTACTCTTCAACATCTTCATCAATTATTTGGATGAAGGGTTAGATGGAGAACTCATCAAATTTGCAGACGACACCAAGCTGGCAGGAATAGCCAACACTCCAAAAGACAGGCTTAGGATACAGGAGGATCTGGACAGACTTGAACACTGGGCGCTATCTAACAAAATGAAATTCAATGGTGAAAAAAGTAAGGTTCTACATTTAGGCAAGAAAAAGCAAATGTACAGGTATAGTATTTGTGGTACCTTGCTCAATAATAGTAACTGTGAGAGGGATCTCAGAGTCCTAGTGGACAATCAATTAAATATGAGCCAGCAGTGTGCTGCAGCTGCCAAAAAAGCCAACTCAGTGCTAGGCTGCATTAACAGAGGGATAGAATCAAGATAATGTGAAGTATTAATACCACTTTACAATGCCTTGGTAAGGCCACACTTGGAATACTGCGTCCAGTTTTGGTCACCACGATGTAAAAAAGATGTTGAGACTCTAGAAAGAGTACAGAGAAGAGCAACAAAGATGATTAAGAGAGTGGAGGCTAAAACATATAAGGAACAGTTGCTGGAATTGGGTATGTCTAGTTTAACGAAGAGAAGGATGAGGGGAGACATGATAGTAGTGTTCCAATATCTCAGGGGCTGCCACAAAGAAGAGGGAGTCAAAATATTTTCCAAAGCGCCTGAAAGCAGGACAAGAAGCAACGGGTGGAAACTAATCAAGGAGAGAAGCAACCTAGAACTAAGGAGAAACTTCCTGACAGTTAGAACAATTAACCAGTGGAACAACCTGCCTCCAGAAGCGGTGAATGCGCCAACACTGGAAGTTTTTAAGCAGAGACTGGACAGCCATTTGTCAGAAATGGTATAGGGTTTCCTGCCTGAACAGGGGGTTGGACTAGATGACTTCTAGTCCAACTTTATTATTATTATTATTATTAAGTTAAAGCTATGCTTTTAGTAGATAATAGAAATGGGAATAAAATAGAGAGTAGAGTAGAACAGAACAGAATAAAATAGAACAGAATAGAATAGAATTCTTTATTGGCCAAGTATGATTGGACACACAAGGAATTTGTTTCCTGTGCATAAACTCTCAGTGTACATACAAGTAATAAATGATAAATCATGATCATGATAATAAAATACAATCATAATAAAACATAAAATACAATGCTTAGTGATAGTAGTATCATAGGATACTATATAAAAGCATCAACATAAATCATAAGATACAACAAAGTTATAGTGATAAGATGCTGAAGGAATAAGTAATAGAAAAATGAGAAGAATAATAGTAATACAGCCCTACCGCATGGTTTAACATCCCAGGTCATAAGACACTGTTGTGGGAATTAGTTGTTTAGCAGAGTGTTGGCATGGGGGGAAAACTGTCCTTGTCTAGTTGTTTTGGTGTGCAACGGGTATCCTATATGGGTCTTTGAAACTTACATTCATTTCTGGATATCTCTATTTACTATAGCTCAAGTAAATTCTAAAGAGGGAGTATTTGCCAAGAACAAATATATATAATATAAAACAAGAAATCTATTATTCAATCCCTATTCCCCAAAGCTGCTATTAAGGCAGCCCAATTGTGTGATGGTATTTCTATGATGTCTGCTTCCTGTGCTTCCATTGTACCTCTGCTCACACAAGTGCATTTATTGATAAATATAAAGCTGTTTCCCATGCCAAGGTTTGTGTAAGCCTCCTCCCCCTCCCACTGCCAATCAAAAGCATCTTCTTTCCTTGATGTATGGGCAGTGATCTGAAACCAGCAAAATCAGGAATGTCACACGAGTTTTTATTTAATGAGTTTATTTGCATCACACACACCAGTTTTCTTTCCCAGGCCATGAATTTGCATTTCTCCTCCCGTAGGATTTGTATTAACACTGAAATAGTATTGCAAGAACAACAAAAAGTTATTAAGCAATTTAAATGAATGCAACTTGATGCAGTTGAAATACTTGTTGGCTGAGGCTTCAGTTCAGCATAAACAGAAAATCTATTTTATTTTTTTTTTCAGATTTGCATCAGATAGTTATAGCTGCTATACCAGTTATATGTATCCTCTAAATGATCTAGAGAATGTTTCAGTACATAAAAGAGAGTAGAAAAATTGCTGAATTGTGCCTGACAAGTTTTTCTTTCTCTCTGTGTGATTTTAGACAGCAAACATCCCTCTGGTGTCAGAACTTGGTATAGATAACGTCCACTTTGATGATTTTTCCCTTGATATGGATACCATGATAACAGCAGCCCTCCGGATGTTCATGGAGCTTGGAATAGTTCAGAAATTTAGAATTGACTATGAGGTAACCATCTGCTCTGACGAGATAATCAGCTGCTTTTGTGTTGGCAAAGGAGAACCTATTTGTTCTTGTTCCTGATGCTATTTTTCTTTCCCATTTCAGACACTGTGTAGGTGGCTTTTGACAGTGAGGAAAAATTACCGAATGGTTCTGTATCACAACTGGCGGCATGCTTTCAATGTGTGCCAGCTCATGTTTGCCATGTTAACTGTAAGTATGTGAGTGGCCAAAGAGATCATGTTCCCATCCCTCTTGCTTAGGATCTAAACATTAATCAATATTAATGGCTAATAATTAAAATTTATTTAATTAAAATTTATTTAATTATTGTGTGTGGACATGTGCTGAAGTAAATAATGTGTTTTGGCTGCAGCAGTGGCCCCCAACATTTTGGGCTCCAGGGACCAGTTCTGTGGAAAGAAGTTTATCAGCGGACTGGAGGGTGTGTAGTATCACTTGCTGCCTGCATCTCACTCGTGCGCAGATGGGGCTTCATTTGTTTGCGTGGCCTGGTTTCTGGTGCACCGCAGACTGGTGCTAGTCCACGACCTGGGGGCTGGGGACTCCTGGCTAGAGCATATTGCATGTCCTCCTTCTTGGGGTGGAATGTTTTTAATAACGTTTTATTCTTCTGCCACCACTAAATCCTCTTCAGGGTTTAGAAATCTGTAAGGTAACATAACCAAGTGGAATGCAGGACCAGTTAGAGCAGTGGTTCTCAATTTTTTTAATGCTGCGACCCCCCCCAACTGGTCGTAAGTCGAGGACTACTCAACCAGTCATAAGTTGAGGACTACTGAACTGGTGCAGCACCGTTTGCAGAATGGGACTTTTGACAGGCTCAGCAGGGCAGAGACAGCCTGGACAATTCCTATTGGCTTTTGAAAGCCAATAGAATTAGACTCTATTCAAGAGAGTCTATTCTATTGGCTTTCAAAAGCCAATAGAATAAAAGGGAGTAGCACGGCTAAGGAAAAGGGGGGGAAAATGACGGACTGCGTTGTTTGGCGACCCCCGTGAAATGGTCGTTCTACCCCAAATGGGATCCCGACCCACAGGTTGAGAACCACTGAGTTAGAGTACATAAGAACTTAGTTTACATAGGAAAGGAAGGAAGGACAATATTTTTGTATGAATTAACTTAAAAAAAATAGGTTCACGTATTGCTATACATCATCTATATCAGATGTGTCAAACTCGCAACATCACGTAACGTTGCGCGATGTTTTATAGAACTTTTAAGTATCACTTTGAAAAAGGTGTCATGCCAATATAAATTTTAATTTACATCTTCCTCTAGATGGAGCTCAAAGGCCAGATTTGCTTCAGGCTGCTTTCTGGTTGTAAGGAATGGAAATGCATTTTGTTTTCAGAGAAATAGCCTTCTTTAAATTGGATAACATAACTATCAGTAGCAGGATCAGATAAGTCTTTTGTTGTTTGTTTTAGTAGAGTTGAGCTTTGATCTTTTGGTAGTGGATCTGAGGATGTTTGTGTAAGAGCCTTTCAAATAATATAGAAATTGATCCCTTCCCACACTAATTTTCCCATGTCTTATTCTGCAGAACAACTGTGTCAGCTCAGGCCTTCTTTACAATAGTTGAGTTAGGGGCAAAAATGTTGCCTATTCCATTATTGAGAATGTCTTCGCACAACTCTGTTTCCTCATGACCTCTGTCCCGGTAATCAGTTTATAGATTTTTGCCTTCTGCTTGTTACTGAAAGCAGCCTCTAGATGCTTTGGTGTTTTTAATTTAATTGGATAAAACATCAAGCCATAAAGTGTAATATAGGGGTCCACTTGATAGCAGAACATTTCACATGTTACAATATTGCAGTAAGAATATAGTCCTTTAGAGAACTCACATTTTCTTTTATTTCTTTTTTCTTTTATTCGCTCTTTTATTTGCTCAGAATTTCAACTGGGACATATAGTGCTGTCAGCATCCTTTGACATATGGTTGCAGCAGTTATACCATAATATAACCAAGCAACAGTTGTGTCATAATAATTGGACCAAGTAACTAAAAAACTCCTTTTCAAGATTATATTATGTATAGTGCAACTGCTATCCTCTGGTCCCCACTGATACATACAAGAAAGAATTGCACGCCCTGATTGGGAGAAAAAAAACCCTTTCATTGATATATACAGGAATGCACCTTTTTTCTGGTTTTCCATCTTGCTTTAAGCTTCACTGTAATGTCCTTATGCTTAATTGTGTCAGATTTCAAAACAATTTTACATCTGCAATCAACAACATAGTATATTTGTGATTGATTTGGAAACTTTCACTCGCTCCTATCCCTCTTGTCTTCTTTACACACGCTTCTTCTCCAGATGTACTGTATCTATGATATTGTTGTCATTCGGATAGAAAGGAGAGCAGTTCCATGAAAAGATCAAAAATGTCAATCTCTGCATTAACTTGATCCTTAATTAAAGAGCAAACAATACCATGCACTTCTGGGATGACTAGAAGCATTTACAGAGGGGGCTTTGGCTTTATTCCCTGATCAATACCATGCCCATCTTTTCATGCTACTTTTTGAACAGCTCAGTTGTTAAATCTTGCTAGACTTGGATCAAGTATACAGTAATGGCAAAAAAAAAAGGCATTTTAAAATTGACAGTCCTGAGGCTTAAGGGTAGGCAGCTTCCCCACTCCAGTCTGCTTCTTCCTCCATGGTGAGGTTCAGATACCTCAGTATTTTAGGCTCTGCTCATACCAATCAGCCACTGTTGACTCTTAAGTGCCAAGAAAAGCAATGAGACAGGAACTAAGGATGAGAATGAGATGGGCTACATCAACTGGATACTGATTTCTGTGTCCCCCTGTTGGTGAGCTGAAAGAACTACTGATCGACTCCAGAATGAATATGATAAACAAGAATGCTCCCAGGGTCACTCGAAAGTATTTCTGGGGTTTTAGGAACCGAACATGGTGACTAGGTAAAAATGTTCTGCATCAATTCAAAATTCAGTTTATAATGGCAATTTACAAACTAATTGCATATATTCTTCTGCTGCAAATAAATCACATATAATTTCATTTGTTCAAGATTCCCTATCACAGTGATGGCGAACCTTTTAGAGACTGAGTGCCCAAAAACTGGCCCTGCTCCCGCTCCACCCCCTGCCCCACCCCCACCTGTCCCCCACCCCGCCTGTCCGCAGGGCCACTCATCACCTCCAGGGCCCTCCACAGATCGCCCAGGTAGCCTAGCAGCACCATGGCAGCCACGCCGTCTGCCCGCGCACCGCAGCATGAACTGTGCGGGATGGGGCATGAGGGCAGAGTCTTGTCTATGCTGCCTGGCTGCCATGTCCTTGGCTGCGCTGCTCCATGTGGGCCATGCTTGGGGGCGACTTTCCTCCAGGGGGGCAGCTGGTGAGGAAGGGGTTGTGCAGGGAGGTGAGGCAGGGGCAACAGCACGTATGCTCACAGAGAAGGCTCCGAGTGCCGCCTCTGGCACACGTGCCATAGGTTCGCCACCACTGCCCTATCAGGACTAAATCATGCCTTCCTTAATTTAGAGTCATTTAAATCCTTGTGTTTAATGTCGCTGGGTTAAACTAAAATAGTTATATGGAACTTGATCTGAACTTCTTTACAATCCAGATCATTATTCTTTATTCGTCTACTTCAAAGTATCCTCTGCATGCTGTCATTTGGCCACAAAAGTCACATATGCAATGAACAGAAACTTCAAATGAAAGAATCAGCTACTATGAGTTTGTCAGATGATTCTTCTTTCAAAAATAATTGACCTTAGTCTTATTTTTTAAAGAAAAAGGATAAGTACAATAACTAGTCATTTGAACCTTGCTCAGCAGAAAGGCAAGTCTTATTGAAAAAAGGTTGATCTATTGTTATCTTCCTAGCTAAAGTTGTGAATTATGCAGGAACATTTATCTTGAAGTTATGTAGGTCTTCCGAGCTAAGCAACTCCTAGCTTACTATCAACAGTGACTCAATCAACAATAAACCAAGTATATGGACTCAGGAACTAAACCTTGGTTACGAATGTGGGCTATAAAAATGCAGAGGACCGCTAGATGGTAGCAAAGAAATATCTACAACTCAAGCATTGATGCATTCAGTAGCTATATTTACTCAGGAACTGTATAGATAACTTCACTCATAGTAATACAAATACATTACCTCATATGACATCCAATGTGACATATGTCATCACCTGTCAGCACTGATTGATAGATTGATTATTTCAGTTTTGAGGCAGCCCCTAGTAACTCTGGGCAGCTCACGGATAAAAATTAATATATATATATATATATATATATATATATATATATATATATATATATATATATATAGGTTTTCGCGGGTATTACATGGGAGAAAACCCGAACAACCAAAGACCTACATATATATATATATGTGTGTGTGTGTATATATGTATGTATGTATGTATGTATATATATGTATGTATGTATGTATGTATATATGTAGGTAGGTAGGTAGGTAGGTAGGTAGGTCGGTCGGTCTTTGGTTGTTCGGGTTTTCTCCCGCATAAAATTGGAAGTGTTTTGGCGACGTTTCGACGAAGTCCCATTCGTCATCTTCAGGCTGGTGTTTTCAGCTTTGTGCTTCGAGCAGCATGAAGATAATTGACTGAAAACCAAAGCCCAAAAAGCTAAGCAGTCAGTAACCAACTAAGGCAAATATCTCTAAGGCAGATCCAGATTTTTTTTAAAAAAGGAAGAATGATTAACCTGGCCAGTGGCTGATTCACTTTTTTTTATTATTTCTAGCCCATTATGTATTCTCACCTCCTTTCTGATTTGTTTAGAAAAAATAATTGCAGGGAGTGCAACTATAACCAGAACTTCTATTGCTAAGTGATGAGGTCATTAAGGGAGTCATGCCCAATTTTTCTACACTTTTTGCCACAGTCGTAACATCAACCCGGCTTCCCCATTGATTCTGCTTGTTGGAAGTCGTCTGGGAAGGTTGCAAATGGCAATTGTGTGATCCCAGCACAAGGCAGCTAAGCACCCAAATTGTGATTACACAAGATGTTTAGAGATGCTGCAATGGTAGTAAATGCGAGGACTGGTGACCATGAACTAGAATATGGTGAGGATTTTGCATTCATATCCCTCCCATCTTGTGAGCTGGCAAATAAATCAGGAAGAAGCCTTTCATAAATATGGTCCTGTAGGAATATGCTCACATCTACTCTATC